TTATTATTATTATTATTATTATCATTCTATTATTATTATTATATTATTATTATTATCTTTATTATTATTATTATTATTATTATTATTATTATCATTATTATCATTATTATTATTATCATTATTATCATTAATGTTATTATTATTATAATATTAGCATTATCATTATCATAATTACTATTATTATTATTATTATTTTTGTTATTATTATTGCCTTTGATGATATTGTTATCACTATAATTACTAATATTATCGTTATTATTTTTACTAATATCATTATTCTTATTCTTATTCTTATTATTGTTACTATTATTATTATTATTTCTATTATTATTATTATTATTATTGTTATTATTATTATTATTATTATTATTATTATTATTATTATTATTATTATTATCATTATTATTACTATCATTATCATTATCATTATTATAATAATAATAATTATTATTATCATTATTATTATTATCATTATTATTATTATTCTTATTATTATTATAATTACTACTACTACTATTATTATTATTATTAGTATTATTATTATTATAATTACTACTACTACTATTATTATTATCATTATTGTTATTATTATCATTATAATTATTACTATGATTATCATTATAATGATAATAGTAATGATTTTTATTATTGATATTATTAATGTTATTGTTATTATTATTACTATCATTTTATTATTATTATTATTGTTATCATAATCATTGTACTAAAATTTTACTATTATTGTTATTGTTATTGCTATTCTCGTTCTCATTATTACTATTACTACTATGAATAACATTTTTTTTCATAAATATCATTATCAATCTTATTGTTATTATCATTACTATTATTACTATCATTATGATTATTATAATTATTATTATTATCATTACCCCTATTATTATCATTACCCCTATTATTATCATTATTATCATTATTATTATTATCATTATCATTATCATTATTCTTCTTCTTATTATTATTATCATTATTACTATCATTAATTTTTCTATTATTATCATTATTATCATTAATACAATCATCATTTCTATTATATCTATTATTGTTATCGTTGTTGATATTATCATTCTTTTCATCATTGTTAATATTGTTATTATTAATGCTATTATTATTATCATTACCCCTATTACTATCATTATCATTATTATTATTATAATTACTACTACTACTATTATTATTATCATTATTGTTATTATTATCATTATAATTATTACTATGATTATCATTATAATGATAATAGTAATGATTTTTATTATTGATATTATTAATGTTATTGTTATTATTATTACTATCATTTTATTATTATTATTATTGTTATCATTGTACTAAAATTTTACTATTATTGTGATTGTTATTGCTATTCTCGTTCTCATTATTACTATTACTACTATGATTAACATTTTTTCATAAATATCATTATCAAATTTATTTTTATTATCATTACTCTTATTACTATCATTATGATTATGATTATTGTTATTATCATTACCATTACATTATTATTATTATCATTATCATTATCGTCACCATCATTATTCTTATCATTGTTATTATTATTGTTATTATTATTATCGTTATTTTGTTATTGTTATCATTATTATTATCGTTATTTTGTTATTGTTATCATTATTATTATTATTATTACTATTATTACTATAGTATTATTATTGTTATTGTCATTACCATTATTATCATTATTATCATTGTCAATATTACCATTATCATTATTATTATTATTATAATTACTATTATTATTATCATTACTATTACTATCATCATTATTGTCATTATTATCATTATTACCATCATTATCATTATCATTATCATTATCATATCATTTTATTATTATAAATACGATAAGAAATATCCTTTCAAAAGCAAGGCATTATATATTATATAAACTATTGACATACAGATGTAGACGAGTATATATCGATATAGATGTATATATAGATATAAGTACAGGGATTTACTTAAAGTTATAGAGTATTAAGATATAGAAAAAGATATAGAAACAGATATAAGTTTAGATTTTATATATATAGATATAGATATTGATAAAGATATGAAGAAAGATATTGTCTTGACATAGATAGATAAACAGAAAGACATAAATAGATACAGATGCAGATACATAAATAGATACAGATGCAGATACATAAATGTATATTTATGTGTACGAGTGTGTGAGTGTGAGGCGAGCGCTCGCATGTCAGTGAGAAAAGAGCGAGAGATCAGCGGAGAGAAGGAGGGAAGGCGTGTCGCAATACAAAAAAATGGCTGGAGGATAAACTTTCCTGGGAAAGATTTGGCGATGCAAACGGAGGCCGCTTTTGACAGATGACAAGAGAAAAGAATGGAGAGAGAAGCAGTTAAACGGAGAATAAAAGCTGACGTCATATTTAGTTGTTGGAGAAAGGGAGAGAGAAAAGAGGGAATGGATGTCGAGAAAGACACGGATGAGAGAGAACCAGTAAAA